GTGTCTTTGAGTGTCCAAAATAGCGTTATATAAAACTAATGCATTATTATTATAATAGACTTTATAAAGAAAGTGTAGGCTTGTATGCGTACTGTAAAGATTGCAATACTTTGAACAGTCCAGTAAATACTTGTGTATCCTAAAGGCACAGAGCTGACAGAGTCGGATGTGAAAGCCTCTGTGTCTCTGTGTGATGGATGGGCTGGCAGGGCAAGGCCGTGGATAAGAGTGCAAACAAACTGCGTTATAAATGACAGCGACAAGGGAGCAGTGATGGGGGCTTCTGATGCATGCCGACCAGCCCCAGCAGCCATTTGTATTAAAGAAATGAGCAAGCTGTCAGAGGCGTGAAGAGTCTCTCCCTCTGCGTTTCACTCTCCAGACACACACACTGGGCGGTGTGACTTAGCTCTGCGGGGGTTTAATCAGGGCAACACAGGAGCTAAAATGGGCCATAATGAGTGCAGTAGACGCCTGCCTGTAAACTCCACGCACAAACCACAGAAGTAGATCACTGAAGAGATCCCTCTCCCGCTGAAGGAACTAGGCTAGTTCAGAAACAAAACTAACTGGAACAGTAACAGCCACAAATGTGTCACTTTAAATCAGGTGCAGACTGAGACACAGTATGTAACTCAATAGTCAGTAGAATACAATGGGAAGAGACAGTGTGTAATATTTTTATTTTAAATTATGTCTACATCTTTTATATGTGTCCCCGGCTGGTGTAGAAATCATTTTTAATCATAATTGACTTTTTGTGAAGAACAGATTTTCCTAATCTGTTCTGCGTAATACATGTATGTGGGTTATTTCATGGGTTGCCTGTAAGTGAATTTTGTACAAATAAAATAGCCAAAACCCGCTAAATTTCACCAAACAAAAAATGGTGCACACATATTTAAATAAAACCCAGGTACAAAAAGTAAGTAAAGTAAAAGTAAGTACCAAAGTAATATTTATTTATGTAGCGCCTTTCACAGACCAGAGTCACAAAGCGCTTTGTTGTGGGCTTTTGTCTCTCACTCCACAGAGAGAAGGAGTGAGGTCGCCAGTACAGGAGGCGCATGCCAGACCTATTGTACACGTTTATAGTGGTAGGGGAAACTGGAGCACCTGGAGGAAACCTATGCAGACACGGGGAGAACATACAAACTCCACTCAGAAAGACCCTGTCCCGACCAGGATTCGAACCTAGGACCTTCTTGCTGAGAGGCGTACATCCACTCAGCCACCGTGCTGCCGAAATAATACAAAATAAGTAGTCATACGTAACACACAGAGTTAGCGTTTCTTGCCAAACCATAGAAGGTGGATTGCATCTAAACTGGCTGGACGATCCTGACAACAAAAGGTTGATTGTAGTTGTAATGACATTATTAGACCACTAATTGTGCACATGTCATACATCCCCTCTAATCACTCGCTTCAGAATTCAAATCTGATTCTCTTCCAAAACAAAACTGTATGCAATCAAGGCCTGATCAAATTCTAGATTATTTTTTTATTAAAACTCTGAGCGTTCCTATTTTAGACTTCCCTAATAGTCACTCAGCTCATTTTTGCAAACCATAAATACTCGAACCATGTAGCTCATATATAGTAATATCAAGTTTAAACCTGACTTGTTTTCATTTCTAATACATCCTTTTGGACTTGCTAGTATTTACATGTGTACACATACACATATCATAAAGTGTTTCTTTCAAACATCAAAGAAAGGTAAAGAAGGGTTAGAGTGACAGGTACACCATCTCATGAGAAGGTCCCGTAAGAACTGACAACATTTTATTATTACATGTTTTTTCACAAATGTCCACAGTTTGCGTTGATATTTGATGGCTCTGCTTGATGCACTAAGGGCAGCTACACTCAGGACACTCCAGGACATACTGTTTGCGCACTTTTATTTGCGTTTTCCATTGGCTTGTTATTTGTGTTTGAGCTAAATCAGGACGCACCATCCTTCAACGCGGCGACATCAACCCGAGTTCGTGTTCTGTATGCCACCCAGATTCTATAAGCACAGCCTCGGTAAAGCATCCAGGCCATGTGTGCTTGGGCTTTATTTCATAATGTTTGTGTACGTGTGTGTATATTCCAAGCACAAACAGGCTACAGCTGGGGGAGAAGGAGGAGAATATTTGGGCCTGCACCTGCGCTCTCATAATGAATGTGGAAGCAGTCACACCTAAATAAATCAGTGCCTCTAGCTGCCTCAATAGGACTTTTCTGTTTAGGGTCAAAATCTTCCTACTCTGCACTGGATAAATCATTCCTCCGAGCAGGGACACAAGCGACGAGATGCGAAAGTGCTCGCGCGTCATTGTGTATTTGGTGCGCCAGAAACATAGAACGTACTTTTTTTCCCACCCCCCCCTCTACCCTCCTCCTCCTCCTCCTTCCACTGACCTGTAATCTCTTGTAGGACAAACAAAAACAAGAGTAAGTCATAATTTCCAACGCGGCGTAATTAGCTCCTCCCTCTCGGCGTACAGTGATGAATAGGTGAACCTTTTGTTTGCATTTGTCACGCTGCGATGGCATTGTTGCAAATGTGAGTTTGTGATGCAGAGGTGCGGTAGGTCAATGCATGCAGGGGTAAAACAGTATTATGTGGTATGCAGACTATTCCGATGTTCGCCAGCTCCCAGCACTTTCCAATCTTTCTATCTGTGTACATATTTTAGCACAACAGCCTTCCTACCCGTCTTTTTATTAGAGGAGGGCTTATCTTTACCTCTTGCTGCTATCTCTTGAATTGGGGGTGGTGTTTGGAGTGCATAGCAGATCTATGCTGTCCACTTCTATCCTTTAGACTGATAGCCTCTGATTGATCTCATCACGTCCCTCATCTATTATTCATATTTTGTAGACGAATTTGGCCGAAAGAGTAAAGGAGACCCTACTGGAATTGGTTTAGATAGTTTTACAGTGGTACACAGAAATGGTTCGACTATGTGACTTTACAAATATATAGGAAATGCAAGTTCATCTGTTCAACACAATTCAAACACATGATAATCCAGTCTTGGGTTTTCTCTGATGCTACAGTTTTTCCACACCATCCAAAACACGCACCATTGGTAAAATCCTCCAGCGAAAGGATTAAGTCGAGCACTTGTGGCAAGCCTTGTAGCCTTGGATGGATGGGTCTAAGGTAGAGAACAAATTTCTCTATGGGGAGGACAAGGTATACCAATAAGCTTTACTAATAGTCAATTTTGAATACAGGAAATGCAGTAATAACAAACACGAAGGGTAGCGTGGTGGACCAATGAATGTTAATAAAACATAGGTAAATGTGCAGAATCTTTGCAATGACAATGCACATAAATGAAAATGTATGTAAGTCCCAGTTTTAGCTACAACGCTAGACTGCAAATTACAAGACATTACAAGACATTAATAAACAAAACATAGTGAAAGATAGTACATTGAGTATCAACAGCATATTTAAAAATAAGTATGCTTTTTAACATGGGATTGTAATTGTTCTTTATATCGACTGAATGTTATTGTATGACAATGAGCTTTTGTCTCATCCAAAAAATAGATATGAATTCTTATCTGAATAATAATTTTGATTGGAAGTTTGTTATGCTCATGATAATTTATGAGCAGATATATTTATTGAATAAAAACCCACACCACGTTAAGTGGATATGTTTGCTTTGGGCTGGATAAATAACTATCAAATTATGTTTTTTGTGTTTTTTTTACCCTCATGCATCTCTGTATCAAAACCAAGTGGTTTATCTGTTGGTTGGAAATGGGCTTGGAATTACTGCCCCTTGGGGCCATACTGAGATGGGCACAGGGACAGTGAGACATGTACTTACGGCTGTTTGGGAAGAAAATTAATGGTGCATTTTTTGTTTTTATAATGTGATGTAATGATGCAATTCGTCTAATAAAAAGAACATTTTTTAACAGTTACCCGTTCATTTGCAACACTCCCAAACTCAGTGGGCCAATACAAACATCTCAGTCCTCTCACCCACTCCCGGCGCTGCAGGCCCCTTTCATTGCATTGTGATGGATGATTTCAGTTTGGCATTTTTCACCACTGTGCAACATTGAGATACACCCCCACCCCATTTCAGTGCGAAAAGAGGCCGCCCTATATTCACAAAGCCCAACATCTAATGCATATTGAGCATGTTTTGTAAAGGATCATTTGATTGTCTGTCTTGTAAATGGAGCTTTGCCTCTCAACTGCTAATTTAGCCACATTCCATCTCATTAGAGAAGAGAGGGAGAATAAACGACAAAGGGAGTGGCAGCAAAATTCACCCTAATGCCATTTCAAATAGGCAGCACCACGGTGAAATAATTTTACAATGTGCAAAGAAGTGTCATGTAAAGTCATGCAAGTTATTGGTGTCAAAACAAAGCTTAACTGTCAGCGCTGCCCTGTGTCCATTACCTTGTATTTTTTTTCATCACCTTTGCAGCCTGTCCTGTTATCTCTTAGAGGATGTGCAAGTGTATCTGGTTTCCTAAAGCGTTTAGCACCTTAGCCACAAAACCCGGACAGGAAGCCCACTCTATTTGCAATGTATCAATTGCTCTGAACAACACTCTCCTTACCTCCACCTCCCTGGATGTCACGCTTGCTCAGCACATGCATACCTTGACTGAGTGGAGTCACTGTCAAGTTCACAAAATGCAAGGATTCAAACCTGTATTTTTTTGTCGTTAAATGTGGTGTATAGTATTTCACGACTCGTCCCAGGGGAATAGAATCGCAGTAGATCCAAACTATTATTGAAGTACAACAATTTAGTCTGACCAAGTAATTTCTCTCATCAATGACACTTTCTGCAGTGGTAATGCTTTGTATACATTTGTGATTCGTCCAACTTGCTCAATAATAAAAAGTGGGCATCTGTGCCTTCGGGAGAGAATCTCACACCTACAGAGTAGACACAGAGGGTCCGACCTTGGCTCCAGTCGACTGTCTTGAGGTTCATCCTTCGGCCAAACTGCCAAGTTAAATGGTTCTGGCAGCCAAGGCAGCAGATAGTGTCACAGCAAGGTCTGAATCAAATATTTTTGGGCTTTAGTTGGCAGACCTACTCTGAAAAGTATGGACTATTATATTAATACAATAAAACCTACATAATCTAGTCTTGTATGCAGAACTGTTTGATGTATGGATTGGGCCAATGAGCCAGAGGGATTGGAAATGTTTTAAAGGACACATATTATGCAGAAAACCCTTTGTTGAGCTATTAACCATACTACAAAATGTTTCCCTAATGAAATGTGTACCTGAAATTGTTTTTAGCTCCTTCCAGCAACTTCTGCCACAAATCTGCACAATCACTCTGCCCCATCTGTGTAATTGCTTCTTTTGCAAACTTGGTACACTTAGGTAAGTCACTTTAGATTATGACGTCATCAGAGGAGCAGTTTTTCTGCTTCTTAAAAAAAGACTTAAGGGTTCAGTGCCACTCGAGTTCAGCCAAAGATGTGGAGACACGGTATGGCTGTCTTTTAAAGTCCTGTGTTTGTTGTTTTTTTGTCTTGTCTGTCTGAATATTTTAATTTGGACCTTGAGTCTATAATAGAGTTTAATTGAAAAAAAAAAACATTATTGAAAGAATATTACCTTCCAATACATTTTTTGGTATTTGACTTTAGTGTAGTTTCCCACTTCTACCACTCACTTCTAGAAAGGGGTGTCTCACTACTCAATATTTTATACAAATACGATACAGATAAAACTTACAGAATTAGATCGTATTGATCGTTCAAAATCAATATTGTTAATTTCTTTATGTAATTCAACTAACAATGTGAAACATATATGTTATACAGTAGACTCATTAAATGCAAAGTGACAAATGCCAAGCCTTTTCTGAGATGTTTAATTAGGGGTTTTAAAAATGTTATAAACCAATTATCAACATTATAACAAATGTGTAATGAGTCTGTTGTATAATAGTTTCACATTGTAAGTTTCACCTGTACACAATTTCATCCATGTATTTTTTCTCAATCTAACCTATAAAATGCAGTGCATAGTTTCAAGCTACGGCCTATTAAAAGGTTTGGTCAAAATTACAGCGATACTTGGTTGGAAGGTTCACACTGAACACATCTTGGCAGGAAGACTAGATCACAACAAGTAAATGCTGAGTTGTTCTGACACACCAGCCTGTGTTGCTCATTTTGTAAGAATTTGATTTTGTAATTAACCAGAAAATTGAGATTAAGAACCTTTGCTCACATGTCACGTGCAGCTCGGTGGTGCAGCGGTTAGAGCTTGTGCTTCACAGATAAAAAATTCTGGGTTTAATTTCACCTCCAGGTCTTTGTGGAGTTTGCATGTGTATGTTTCCTCCAGGTGCTCCATTTTCCCCTACAACTAAAAACATGCACGATAGGTATAAATCTAATGAGTGACTCAACGGGAAAAATATCTGAATATGTTCTTACTTTGCTTTGTAAATACCTTGGTCTCTATGAATAAAGATTACTTTTTTTTCTGACTATGAAATGCCAAAGTACATAATCTTAAGATCATGTATATGGACCCAAATAAACACAGATAATGCATAACATTGTTCTTTACAGAGACGCCGTGATGCAGGTGCGAGCGTGGACGCGTGGCTCCTACATGCAGCTGTGTGCGCGTCTCTGAGACCGTGAAGAAACGCCTGAGGTGATGGTTTTGAAAGGCACTTTAGAAATTAAAGCGGTGCCACTGTTCTGTAATGGGGCTTAAATGATCCAGAAAACACAAGATATATTGAGCATTTAATGAAACACACGGCACACTTCCTAATTCTCTGTTCTGTGACGCGTGACCTGATGCAGACCAATATGCGCAATCATACACAATGAGACGTTTGGAGGATTTTTTAATGGTTTGCATTTTTTTCAAACAATTAGGTATAATAAAAGAAAGCCATTTGTCCGGTCGTGTACATTACAATGAGAACACTGCTGCACATGAAAACACTGGTATTGCCCAATGTGCCTAATACCTGTAATGGACTTTGTTTTTTAATTTTGAAGTAAATGTTTGTGAACTGGCATGGTTGAAAGAATCGGCCCTTTTCCACTGCAAAAAGTGATGAAAAAGAAGTTAAAAATGCCCAAAATGTATCTTTATTCGTGTGCATTTCAACTGTCTTAAAACAAGATTTGCCAATGGGAGAAGCAAAAATAAAAGAAACGTTGCCCTTGGAATGAGAAAATAAAGCAGAAGTGGTTGAAATAAGACTAAATGGCTTTGTCCATTCATTCATTTTCTTCCCCTTAATCCATTTCTGGGTCAGGGGTGGTGGCAGTCAGAGCTGCACCCAGTTCACATCCACCAGCCCCTCACTGATCCTCCTGCAGGTGGTGAGTCCACAGGAGCATTGATCTTTCAGCGGGGGCTTCAGGAAAAGTGGGGTAAAGTATCTTGCCCAAGAACACAACAACAGCAGACATCAGTGGGAGTAGTGAAGTACGTCCTTCAGGCTCAAAGGCCAATGGTCTACCAACTGAGCCACTGTCGACCGCTAAATGGCTTTGTCCCATTGGCAAATCTTGTTTTAAGGCAGTCAGAATATACTCAGATTAAGATAAAACCACCAACTGATCATTTATTGCTGTGTACAGACCTGATTTTAGCTCCTGGCTGGAAGGTAGAAAAAGGAAATATAGCAATGTATTAAGTGTATTTTATGATTATGTTTTTGTTGCTGTATTACAAGGATTACATTGGATTGTTAATTTTCTCTATGTTAATGTTCATTTAATTCCAAACAGTCTGGGTCCTTTCAGTTTGACTCCAGTTCTTTCCTCGCTGTCTGTGAATGTCCTTTGTGGTTTGGCCATACATTAATAATGTAAAGGTAATGATCTCTGGACTAAAGGCCTGTCCCGCTCTGTCTCCCCCTTCTTCCCTCTCCTGTCTGTCTGCAGCGCACACCAGAGCAAAAAGAGGAAGAGGAGGAAGAAGAGGCCGTGCTACTGCAGCTGGAGACGATCAGGCACCAGGGCAGAGGCATCCGGACTGAGGTGCAGAAACTTTTACCACTTGGTCTGTTAAACACAACATGAAGGAACGCTATTGTTGAAGTTTGAAAAGCAAAATAAGCAATGATACATGCTTTCATTCTTAGTTTAGTCAAGTGAAACTCATTCATTTTTGACAAGGGCTATTTCCATACACATTTTGTTTTCAGTTATTTTCCAGTTGGAAATTATGTCTGGCCTAAAATAAGGGCCATGCTGTAGTAAAAATGATGAGCAGCACATTATTTATGTCCTGACTTTGCTAACATCTGTTATTTTATTTATGTATTTTTTATTTATTTTATATGGACACAACAGTTACACTGGACAGACCAGATGCACTGCCTTTAGTGTTATACTAAGACCATGCTAATTTCCAACACTTGTCCATAGAAGGCTTTTAGGAAACACATTTAAAATTTACATATATAAAAGAAATTAAATCTATAGTTCATTTACCATGTGAACAATGTTGCTCCGGTTTCAGCCACAGTTTAAGACGTATGACGAAGATGTTAAAGTCTGTTTGTAGTTTTAGGTCAGTGGGAAAAGTGTTCCACAGTGTCCTGAAGGCAACGGAGAGGAAACATATAAACATCTTTATTTATTCACAACTTATAATCACGTAAAATATAACTACCGGTAGTAGCCTAAATGCCCTATATCCTAAGTACCCTATAACTAGTTGTTTTTGAGCTCTAAAGGTGTGAATGTAGATGATGTATGATCGAAACCTTTTGAAGAAAAAGTTGTGCAGGGTTGTGCTGGTGTGACATTATATTTTAGATCGAGTTTTGGTGAAACAAGGAAAAGAATGTGTTTCGGGACCAGATTGTGACCAATCACAGCGGACCACTGGCCCCCACTTTCTTGAGAAATCTACCGGTCTGTTTGCACAGGCAGCTGAGTTAGCACAAAAAGCGGCGGAGCTAACCTGAAGCTTCCTTGTCTTCGTCACCGGTTACTGCTTACTCAGCGAAACAGCCATCCAAAAGAAAGTCCCGTTCCTCCACACTTCCCGGTTCTTTCATTCTATGGTCACGCCATCCACGCTCAAATGTACAATACATGATTCTATCCATATTGGGAAACGCTAGCTCTGTTTACAACAGTGGGTGTGCGGTAGTGGGGCGCGATAGCTTTGTGGGTGCGGGGAGGGGAGGAGAAAGAGCGAGGCCAGCGAGTCCGCTGCTTTGAAATCCCAAAGTCAGTTAGTGCAGCTTTAACTTAAACAAGACATTACAAAGTCAGGAAAGACAATGAACTACTGAAATGAAGTAAAGAGTTACAATTTTGAGTGTGAAAATTACAAGGGAAAACCACTATAACGTGGTCAATAGATTTTTCCTGCTCTGTCCCCTTTAACCGTGCTCCAAATGTAGTTTTCTTCAAGTGTTTTGATCCTGGTTGAAATGCTGTGTCAACCTGGGACAACAGTGGGAAAGGGATGCGAGTTGTTTGAACGAAGACATTAAAATAAACTACATACTTTACAAAATCATTCTTCAATAGTCACACTGTAGTGCAGCCAGAATTCTAGCAAATCACTTTATAACGGATCACAGCAAGCTTATCATCCACTATCGTCAATTTCAAAACTTAAGGCAAAGAGCAGCCGGTGTAAAAGTAGTTTTTAACCTCCTTCACCTGAGCCACATCTAAGCAATATCTAAGCCTCGGCAAAATACTAGGTTGCAAGGCGAGTTAAATTCTGAGTTGTTTTGGCACACAAGCCTGTGTTGCTCAAGGTGTAAGCAAGAGGCAGCCCTGGGTTTTTAGCTCAGTGGGAATGACCCTAGAGTTTTTCCGTAACTGTCTTGTGCAACTTTGTTGAAGCAGTCAGAAATGGATTGGATTCCGTGTTGAGGTATAAATGATGGACAGTGAACTTCATCTCTGACAATACGTAATATTTGTCATGTTCATATTTTTTTGAAAACTGTACAAAGATGAGTGTAGTGCAAATCTGGGCGGGACGTGGTAGAAAAGTGTGTTGACTTGAAGGTGTAGCAGAAGGGTTCGAAAGGCACAAATAACGGCCATCAATCACTGAGCTGTCAACGTTTTCACAGGTTACGATTGGCTGTACTGACAGTCGCCTGGCAGAGGTGAAAGAGTACTGATATATCACTCCTATTGCTATAACTGGTCAACAATACTCCACTACAAGAGAAAAATAACTACTTTAAAATCTGGTGTAACCGACACTCAAATGCTGCAAATCACATTCATTATAATCTATACCACACTTGCAATATATCCTTAACCCTATTTTAGTATTGGGATTATGGAATATCCCTATGTGTGAAAATACCACAGTATTACTGTATTGCTGAGTTGCATATCTTAATCATGTTTAAAAACCAACGGCCTTAGCTTTAAAAAACATGTGGATTGTTCCTGTGTTATGTTCCCCACAACTGTCCAGATTATTGGTAAAAACACATGCTAAAAGTTATGCAAATTAGAATATCGCTCAAGAGGTCATTTATTTCTCTGTTTCAACTAAAAATGTGAAACCAATATGTGATATACACTCATTACAACGGTCTATCAATATGGTCATTTGGATCATGGCATTTTAATCTAACGGTATACTGTCTTTACTAATCATTTAGTCAATTAATTGATTGATGATGTCTTCGTCGACCAAATGTTTGCAGCATTGAGCGAATTAGCTGCAAATGTTGTGGTTATTTTTGTGTTTTTAAAGACACCTTAATTGAGCTTTGTTTTCATAGTGACAGGATTTGGATGCAGACATTAGTTGCAAGAAAAGTTGTGAGACCAGTTTCATCTGACTCATTTTTGACTATATCTTTAGTTATATAGTGTTGCTTTTGTTTCTGTTGTCTGGCTATCGATATATGATAAAGTGAATTTCCCCACGTGGGATTGTGTGGAAGTCGATGTCAGTAGTTGACCAAGAATTTCTTTCTTCGACTGTGTCATACGACGTAACCTAATACTAGTCATTACCACATTCCATTTGTAGAGTAATAAATTGATCTCGACCATTTGTGTATTTGTTTTTTTCCACCGCTGCAGGAGTCCTTAGTGTCTTGAGTGTGCGAGTGGGCCAGCGCGGCCGTCTCTGTTCTCTCCGTCTTTTCTTCTACACTGACGGAACCAACAACAACAGTTTGAGAAATCACCCTCGTCAGCACGAAGCTGGCAGGTGTGTTAACTCCCCCAGTACCAAATTAGGATGTGCAAGATTGCAGAAACGCTTTTCATATCGCCCCCTTTTTTAATCACAAACGTTTATGAAGATGGAAGCAAACGTGTTAACTGTAGCCCTCGGTTCAGACACCAGGCCAGGCTTGGACCATCCCAAAGGTCGGCCTGAACTTAACTCCAACATGTCTTTACATATTTACTGTTTCCAAGCCTGAAAAGTTTGTTTATTTAGAAGTTTTGAAGCAAGTTACAATTTAGTTCAGTCTAGTTTTGAGTGAATTAAGTAGCAGCAGCAATAGTTTATTTTCTTCAGTTATTATGAGCATTTATATATCGTAAGTCACACGTTTTTCAAAGATCTTATACATTATACAGTTACAAGAATTTAGGGGCTACATGATGCCTTGTTGTTCACTGTAAATCCATAGTTATTTGTATCTATCAAAAATGCTAAAATATTGAAATATCTTTGACGATCCTTTCTTAGCAGTGTGCTATGTGTGTGCAATACACCTGATGCCACAGTAGGGCGGCCGCGGCTGTAAAGTGCCAAACTGTCGTTGTGTCCTTAGGCAAGACACTTCACCCCCATTGCCTAGAATGAGTCTGGTGTGTGTGAATGGTTGGTGGTGGTCAGAGGGGCCGATGGCACATACTGGTTGCCTCGCTTCTGTCAGTGTGCCCCAGGGCAGCTGTGGCTACAATAGTAGTTTATCACCACCGTGTTTGGAGTGAAAGAATAATAACATGTAAAGTGTCTTTGAGTGTCCAAAAAAGCGCTATATAAAACCGATGCATTATTATTATTATTATAATACCAATCTCACATTAGTAAACAGTGACTCTCAGTAAGAAGTTTTCGGGTGAGACTCCCAAAGGGCCTTTCTGTGTGGAGTTTGTATGTTCTTCCTGTGTCAGCGTAGGTTTCTTCAGGATGCTCTGGTTTCCACTACCACTAAAAATATGTACAACGGGACTACGGATGAACATTCTGGTCTTTACAACAATAATTATGAATAAACACTGTGCCAAAAAAGTAAACTTTAAAGCAAAAAAAAAGTCATTATCCACTTTTAATTGAATTGGTAATTACTCTAGATTCTGCTGCTGCCTCTTTACCTTCAGACTATTAGTAAGAAGTGGTTCTTAATCTACTTACCTTTTTAACCAGACAAAAGAATATATCATTAATAAAGTAACTTAACTGTTCTATTATTAGTGACAAAGGGCATTTAGTATCTACTCAGGAACTTTGAGCGTTTTATCTAATAACTTCACAAACTCTTAAAGAAATTCACACCCATTTCAGCAAATTAATGTAATCTTGAATCACAGCACATTCATTTTATTGATGGCATTACCTAATTTAACATGACTGGCTGCAGAGTGAACACTAGGGGGTGCTAATGGTTTTTGAAGGAGCTCTGAGCATCACAGAGTCTGTGCTTGGTCCCTGCTTGTCCTTGTTTAGAGAGAACATGGAGCATTTATGCACTCCTTAAAGTCCAACTAATCCAAAAGTCCGGGGCAGTTGTCTAATACTGACACCTTTTTATCATTAACTTCTCATGTTACTTGAGGGGAGAGGTCAAGTTTTTGGTGGAAAAATACGCAGTTAATAGCTGAGATGTTTGTAATGAGTTGAGGCCCTTCATATTTAGTTACTTAATGCCAGCGGAAGAGAACAGACTTGCTGAGTTGACGCAAGTAACTGCACTAATTGGGCCAAGCAAATTTGTTCTTTTAGTATTTAGTCACTTAGTCAGATTTAGATGCACTGATTCTGTCTGTATTGATACACTTATAGGCCTCTGTTTTTTGACAGCACACACAAACATTTTGCAGCAAGGAGTC